TACTTCAGATTGGCCCTTGGACAATTTCAAGAAATGCTCCATCAGCTGACTCCACGTTTGCAGAAGGAGAGGACAAATTACAAAGAGCCGATTGATCCAGAGCAATGGCTTGCCACATCTCTGAGGTTAGATTTATATTAACCTACAGATTTATAGAGCAGTTTGCCTGCAAATGTTTGCAAAATTTGCTACAGGGGCAAAAAAATTACAGTCGCTTTTTTGCTTGCGGAAGTTTGTAGCTGGTGTGGAAGCTTACATTGACTATATGAGGTTTAAAAAAAAAAAACATTCCTTATACATTATAGGCTATAGAACTGGATAGAAATGGTTAAAAGTAAGCTTGAAACTACAAATATTCATACCATGTGTCTGAGGGCTGCTACAGCGAGCATTGTAGTAACACACATATGTATAGAGAGGGTTCAGTACTTTGGAAGTAAAGCACCACCACTTGGTAAGAAACTGTGAAAAAATATAATTATGTTACTCAGCATAAAATTGCAAAGAATTTATGGATTTCATCATCTGCACTCCTTCATATCATCAAGAGATTCAGAGAAATGTATGTAACAAAGGGACAAACTGTAACTACATGATGATCTTTGGGCCCTGGGACATAACTGCATTAAAAGCAGAAACAGCTCTGTCGTGGAAATCACCGCATGAGCTCAAAAATCCCTCTCAAAACTCAACATAGTTCATTCTGCATCCACAGTTCCATGTTAAAACTCCAGAAATACATTTGCTGAGTGTTGTTAGAGGAGAGATAATGCAACACAGAGGTAAATATGCAGGAGCAACTGTTTGGAAACCTCAGTACTGAATTCAAGATGAGCGTATATTCTCATAAAGCAAGACATATCTTTTATATTTTCAACATTTGGTAAGTTGTCTTGGCATAATCTTCAATTGTACTGAGGGATTATATAATTTCCAAACCATCAAATTCTGTTTTTACAGACACTTTTAACTGCATCCCAGGCTTTTTTGGGACTGGTGTTGAATACGGGAAAGGGAAAGGGAATTAAAAAAAAAATATATATATTTACAAAAAAATAAAAATGCATGCTGGGTTTGGTGAATCAGGGCGAAATCACAGGACGACGCTAGCGTCCTCAGCTCTGCCTCAGTATGCTCTGATTTTTCACTTCATGTTGTTAAAAATGTCACCCTCCAACCAGAGTGGTCCCTAATTAGGATTCAGACGAGTGTTTGTGGCTCTTGGCTGCTAAATGGACCCAAGAGATGTGAGGAGATGATGGTGGCTGGCTGAGTTAGACTGTGTTGACAGAGCAGCAGACAGAGGAGGAAAAAAGGAACAAGAGGAGGAGGAGAGGGAGAGGAGGAAAAAAACATTAATGCTTGTGATGGGCCTGATCCGACTTGTTTATTTGGACCACACAGCTTCCTATATATGCATGAATTCACATTTTGTTTTTGCCTCTGCTGCTGTTGTGTTTCCAGCGTTGAAAAAAAACAGAGCTGGAACATATGTCAGGCCTATTAAAAATGAAACAGCGCCGTAAAAAATGAAGTGAGTTTCAAGCTTTGACTTTGTCTCTCTGACTGTCTGCCTTTGCCACATCTCTTTCTGATCCAGATGTCTCCTCTACCGTCCATCCATCCATCAACCCCAGGTGAATGATCTGAAAATAAAACGTTCAGAAATAACCTCAGAGAAGCAAGAGGACAGCTGGCAAAAAAAGATATTGCCTGGCTAGTGTTTCCAGTAATAACCGCTGTCGCTCCAGCCAAAGCTGCGGCCGTATTTCACTGCTAGTATTTCAGCGCCGTTCACATGAGCCAACCTTGCCAATATTTAAGCAATCATATTAACCTTGCCAGCCACGTCTCAGTATTTATATTAGCTTCCCAAGCCAATATTTTAGCATTATATCAGTCATGTTGCATCTGTTCAGTGTCCCAACATTTAAATGCCTGTCTGCCCCACCCCCCCAAACCTCTTTTATGCTCCCCATGCTGGCCAAAGAGGCATAATTTTTATGAGCATCCTTTTATGGCCGGGCTCAGTAAATTAGCTGAAGTAGCCTTTTCTTCATTTTAGAGAGCATCAAAGAGATAAGTGGGACAGGAGTGAGGGGGGCTGTCATTAAAAAAAAAAAAATCCATTTAATAATAGGAGCTTTCCAGTCTGGATTCAGCTCTCAAATATCACACGAGCCATTCAGACAGATTAGCTTTACTGTACAGCAAACAAAACCCCCCTTTCTTCCTCAGTGATGAAACAGCCGAGGTTTGAAACCTCGACATGAAGAGAGACGCTAAGTTGACGTTCCCTCTCCATCAACAATAGTGGGCTTCCTTCTGTTTCAGGCTCAAGGAGGCACAGAGAGATGAGGCTGAGACTGAGACGAGCTCAGAGCATTTGATTGTTTCCTTCACAAAGCCACAGCGGAGCTTAGCTCGCTTCAGCCGGCCCAACCACCGGGATGATGCTTGGCTTCATGAGATAATTTCAGAGGAAATATCTCATCAGAACTGGGTATTAGTGTATGCTTCACACACACACACACACACACACACACACACACATATATATTATTTTTTTCCCTTAATTATTCACTTATTCATTTTCTTCATTGAAAAAGCAGTGAACTATGTGAGCACATAAAAGCGATCAACCTTAATGGTTTTGCTAACTATCGAAATGATCATGGAGAGTAGGAGGACGATTTTCCCAGCAGGTGAGCAGCTCTAAATTCTTCTGTCAAAATATTGCTGCTAAGATGATGTTAAGAGCACTTTAAGAACACTTAAAGCCTCTTTTCTGAGCTGTTAATTTGACCAGACCTGACAAGAAAAATGTCCATTACAGTCTTATTGTCAGCCATTGCTGACAGTGATTGATAAGGTCCAAATGGATGACGGGTTCTTGTTCTCAGATCTCTCAGACATGCTTATTGAGTTATTTTCTTAATTACATCAAACTTCTGGACAAATAGACTCACTCAGTCAACTTATTTGGTTTTCCAGACTGTCAGTCATAGGTCCTCGCCTCACTGCCTTAGCTTCCACCCTCCATCATTTTATTCAAACAAGAGCAGCTGTACATACAGTCCTCACCAGGAGACAAGTGTGTTTCTTCCCTCTGTATGCCACTGTCTGTTTACAGTTATCTTTACTTTAACTGGTCCTATGGTTGTTCAAAAGCTTACATAATTCAACCACTGTTGACACAGTCCCAAACTGATCTGTTGATGGCAGGCTTGCACTGACCCGATCATCCAGCTGTTTAGCCTTAGACAAAGCTGCTCACATTCTTACATGTCTTTTTTTACTGCTTCTAACACAACAGCTGTTGCTGCCCTACTGACAGGTACCAGTGTTTTGAGATGACCGATGTATTTCACCTTGCCTAGCAGTGGTCATACTGTAATGACTGATTGGTGTAGCTCAGTGAAAGTAATTAGACAGATATAAATAAATACCGTCCACATACTTTGTATGCTTTAAGACATCAGACAGAAACTCCAATACTTCTCTGTTTATGTGCAATGGCAACAATTTCCAGTCTCAACTAGTGATGGAAAACAAAAATAAAGTCTTAACCCTTTGATGCGCAACATGGGTCAAAAAAGACCCGGCTGAGTTTAAATTTTATATATCTTTTCAATAAATTAATTCCATCAGTCGGTATTCAAGGAATTCCTCAATTAACTTGTTTTAGACGACCCTACATCCTTATGTTAATTTTTCTTTTTTTACTTTTAGAATAAAAAACGTTTTTGTATCACTACCCCTCTAATGCACAACATGGGTCTAAAATGACCCGTATCCATTTTCAATGTTATTTCATGTATGGCTGAGTGTTTCTATGGTATATCTTTGAAATAAATTAATTTTATCATTTACTATTACAAGTATGCAGTAAAGATCTTGTTGTAGTTGAGCACAAATAATCATTTTTATTTTTTCTTTCTTATGTTATGAGGAAGCACAGATTTTGTATTTCTACATCAAGTTTACATACATGGGTCAGAAACGACCCACATACAGTGACTGTAGCATTTAGCATGAAAAGACCGTCTAATACATGTAAGTATGGTTTTTCAATTGTTCTGACATTATCTTAGAAATTATTTGATGACAATTGTGAAATATAATTGTAAATAGATTTGATTTGATTAGGTTTAGGTTACCTTGAGAGTGAAGACATTACATGTTGGAAAGTTACACAGTTACAGGTAAAACAGCTAGCGTTATTTCAGCTAGCTATAATCAGACGCATGTGTATGTGACAAAATGTCAAAAAAAAAATGTTGCTGATACAAAATACAAAAGTGTTTGGCCCATAGACTGTATAAAGAATGGACATGGTCTGCCTCCTTGCTGGGTGAAGCCGAGAACAGCACCCCCTGTTTACAGGCTGCAGTATAGGTCATAAATCTGGCCTCCGCCAGCAAAGCTTATGGAGTTGTGGACAAACTTTAGAAATTTATTACACAGAACATAAATTTTTCTCCCCCCTGCTTGTGATGTTGACATGTAGTTACTGTCAGACTGGTTTGTGCTCAAGTCCTCTTTTTCTGTACAGCTCTGTTTTTAAAAGTTATTAGGGGGTTCATGTTTCTATGATTGACACCTGCCATAGACTGTATATAGAATGGATAGAGTCTGCCTCCTCACTGGGTGAAGCCACTCCGAGAACAGCACCCTCTGTTGATGGGCTGCAGTATAGGTCATAAATCCCGCCTCCGCCAGGAAAGATTATGAAGCTGTGGACAAACTTTAGAAATTTATTACACAGAACATACATTTTTATCCCTCCTGATTGTGATGTTGACATGTAGTTACTGTCAGACTAGTTTGTGCTCAAGTCCTCTTTTTTTCTGTGAAGCTCCATTTTTAAAAGTTATTAGGGGCTCATGTTTGCTATGATTGACACCTGATACAGCCTATGGGCGTTCAGGGATTGAGTAGCTCTCCCGGGGGATACGCTGTTTGAGCCGAGTGTCATCACAGCGACTCTCTTCAACTGTGCGGCCAAATGCGCGCATTGCTACTGCGCAGCGCTGGTTTCAGGAAATGAAGAAAAATCCTGGAAATATCGAGAGCTATTTGGCTTCAAATCTGTATACAGGCGGTAGGCGGAACGAAGTTGTCCATAGTATATACAGTCTATGGATACAGCCTATGGGCGTTCAGGGATTGCGTAGCTCTCCCGGGTGATACGCTGTTTGAGCCGAGCGTCATCACAGCGACTCTCAGCGACTGCGCGGCCGAATGCACGCATCGCAACTGCACAGCTCTGGTTTCAGAAATGTAGAAAAGTCCCAGAAATACCAAGAGCTTTTTGGCTCCAAATCCGTATACAGGCGGTAGGCGGAACCAAGTTGTCCATAGTATATACAGTCTATGGTTTGGCCCCACTCACTGCTAATTTCATTACTTGAAACAAATTATTATTATAGTGTTAGGTAATTTAATATTAAATCACACTTGGATGAATGGGTCGTTTTTGACCCATGTGTGTAAACTTGATGTAATAATATAGAAACTATATTATTTCATAAAGTATGAAAAGAAAAATAGAAATAATGATCAGTGGTGATCAAAAACAAGATTTTTAAAGAATACTTGGAATATTCAATCAGAAAATAAACTGATTTCAAAAGATAGAACAAAGAAAAACTCAGCCAGCATGAAATACCATTGGAAATGAATGCGGGTCTTTTTAGACCCATGTTGCGCATTAGAGGGGGTGTGGATATGTTGCGCATCAAAGGGTTAAAGACCCACTCCAATGAAAATGATGTTTTTCTTGTTTTCTTCATGTTCATATGGCATTTTTCTGATGCTACAGGACATATAAGAAAACTAAATGGGAAATGCCTTTCTGAGTATTTCTTTATTCAAATCTCTGTGAATCTCTGGCAGACCTTAACAGCAGGTTCAGAAACAGTGAGATTTCCTACATAGCAAATCTAAGCTCCGCCTCTGCAGCCCTGATATGCAGGCCACACTCTGTGTATAGAGGAGAAATACAGAGGATGATTTCAGAACAAGCGTGTGCAATGGTGGATTGCAATGCTTGTAAGAAAGCTTATTATGATATTAACTTTCATCATGTCCCTAAAGACATTAGTGTCTGAGAGCTGAATAGCTCCTATATTACCTGTTTCTTCTACTACACCGGCAATGTTAGACTACAAGCTAGCATGAAGAGGAGTGTGGACAGCAGTGCTGTCTCTGCCCACGTCTCAGAGGCGAATTGCTAATGAGCTACTGGAGCTCTGCAGAAGAAAAGCCCTTGAAAATGACACAAGTAATGGTATTTTGGCTAAAAACCTCATAATCACAATTTAAAAACCACTGAGAACACTAGCAGTTGTAAAAAAAAAAAAAAAAAAAAAAGAGTGTGACTTTAAATTTAAGATCCCAACTTGATTAAGCCGTCCCTGCCTAGATAATCCCTGTTCCTGTTGGAGGAAGTCTAGACCCAGCATGAAAAGGATGGTGAGGGTCTTAGCGCCAACTTTACACACAGGCTGCAAACTTAAAATTTACAGTCAGAAGAAATCACAGTGAAGTGTGTCATTTAGCTTTGATCTACACAACAACAGCTTTCGTTTAATCTCTCACTGAGCTATGCTGAATTCTCATGTCTAATCCTGTAACTGCCCAACATTCCCCCATCATGTACTTCAAAAGTCCAGTTTCAGTCAAATTAATGTAATAAATTGAAGTACCTACAAATTTAGATCCATAGAAAGAAGTACAAACTGTTATTAAGAAAATCCCACTGGCCTCAAGTCACAAGCACTGCACCATGTTGACAAAGGATTCAGCACCTTAAGATCTCACTTCACTCATTGGTTGTTCATTGAGGCTCCTTGGAGCCTTGCGATGTCTCTGGCCCATGTTGCCATGATCTGTCTGTCCATACAGGCCATAGAACCATCTGTTACTCTTTTTCTCCACTTCTTCCACCATCAGCTTTTATTGCAAACTTATCTGTGTTTCTTCTCAAGATAAAGAACACGCAGGCTCTTCTGTTAAACAGCATGTCTGTATTATTGCTGATAATCTTTCCATATATCAGCGTAAGCTCCTTCCTTACTTTAAAGACATAAGTTAACACTGAAAGGTGAATGTATATCTCTTTTTTATTTTGCATTCCTGCCTCCCCATTGATTTTTTCCCCCCAACTTTCTAAACTGGGGGTTTTCTGTCTATCTCTCATCTCCAATAATATCTGGGATCAGGGGCTGTTGCTCAAGGATGAGCCTCGCCTTTATGAATCATAGAAACAGGCAACATGTGGTTTTGGTGCTGGGGTGGATTTTCTCCTGTAATGAGCATTCTGCAGTGTCTGTAACCTGCTGGGGAGACCAGACATCATTTATACTCAGGGCAAACAAGCCACACAGGCTCGCCTGCCAAAAGCACCATCCATTTAATAGAGACAAGTCAGAGAGGGCAGGCTGCACGCTGCCACACAGCCAGCACTGCACTGCAGAGCACAGCTAACAGACTGGGGGGCGGGTTGAAGAAGTACATAGGTTTGCAATGATTATTTGTTATGAGTTAACTTGTAAATATGTTTAGGTTTTAAGGTTAGAGCATTTATTCTGGCTAGGACTGTCTGAAAAACTTGGCAGAAGCAGCATCATTAAAAAATACCTGGTGCTCGGCCTGACCATGAAAAGATGTCTAAACTTAAATTTGACTGGACCAAATTTTCTGTTCATTCCTGTGCTTTGAAATGGTTGGACTGGGAAACTCTCAGGTGTAATTCTGAAGGGCATCGCATGCTCAGCAAACCTTCTCAACAATATGAGAGCTTTACAAAAAGAAAAAAAAAAGGCACAATCTGTTTAAAGAGTGTGATACGAGGGTGAAACTCATTTCCTCAGCGTTGCCCCTTTGTGTTTTCGCTTGGAACTCAGCCGAGAAATCCACAGGGACAACAAGGTGAGTGGCTTGGCCTGCTGACTACCTTTATTTCCTCATTTCCTTTATTTCCCAGATTGTTTCACTAATATCCGTGGGGGGGTTCAGGGTTATGGTCAAGCCCAGTGCCTGCCAATCTTCTCAAAGCGTCAGCTGAAACCCTGCAAGCACAACAACTCTTCAGCTCCAGTTATCCATGTGTAGAAACTCACATAAAGCCTTCTATCTGTGAAAAATCTGTCAATTCTGCTCACAGGCCTCACTGTTGATTACTTCAACTAAATTGTCATCACCCAAACTTTTATCAGTTTTTTTAAGTTAGGCTGTCAGTCATTAAAACACGCAATCCCATTCTCTGTCCAAACTGAAAAGAGAGAAGTCTGACCACATTTACTGAACTTGACGAAAGGCTCTGTGTCTTGTGATGCCATAGCCCCTCCCAGCTGCATGAGCACAGGTCCGCTTTCCACACTGCAGAGACTCTCCTACAGTGATAAGTTATCTGTTAGTTAGCAGTGCTCTCCTAATATTCAGGGTTTGGTGCTTTGAGTGTGCGCCCACGTCAGCCTTTACTAAGAAATCATAGTATCTGAGTTAACTGCTGTTTGGTAAGAAGTTAGCATTAGCGAATAGCCTGCTGAGATATTTCCTTTGAAATTATCTCATGAAGCAATTAGCAGTTAGCCTGCAAGTGAAAATCATGCTCGTGATTATCCCGCGAGTGGTTAGCGCTAGCAGTTAGCCTGCAAGCAAAAAATCATACTAGTGATTACCATGCTAGCTGGTTATATGGGAGTATCACTGAGAGACGTTTGTTAGCATCTTTATGTGCAGCCTTGTTTATCTTGTTAACTTTATTGGAAGGTTTGATTTGATTTCTATGACATCTGATATGTTAACAGAGTGGTGTAGTAATTATGAGTGATGGTAGTTCATTCATCAGGACATGATGTGTCTTATTTCTATTTTATTGTTTATTTCAGCCACACACATATCCACATGCTCACACATATACCCACCTGCCATCTGTCTACTTCACTTTATTTTGCTGCAAGTTTGAAATAAAGGAAGTTAAAGGAGAGCTGCTCCACTGGAGTCCTTAGTGACAATATGATAACACTTACCATTCACAACCAGCTTTTTATTTACCTGTTCCCCAACAACCATTTTTACCTGGTTAGACATAGTAAGAAGACACCACACAGTTTTATGCATTTTTTTTAACACAATCTCAATTTTAAAATTTGGTTATGGTCCAAAATAAAAGAATGGAATAATAAAAGAGCCTCCCAAGCTTTAACCACTGGCATTTCCTAAACTAAATGAATTAAGGTAGTCAAACCCAGAAACCCAATTTAAAGGCCAAGAAAATCCCATTTGAGTACATTTTACTTATTAAACATAGAAAATTCTGCAACTTTGAATCTGAAGAGACCACAGAGCTCTTTTTGACCTTAAGGCATCTATCCTGGTCCTAAAAATACTTCCATTTCAGTCTGTTTCATAAGCAGCAAAACTCCTCACTGAGGCATTAATTCTTTTATTACTATTTTTGTAATTTAGTTTTCTCAAATATATGAAAAACACAGAGCAGGGAACAATAGCAAAATGCTATGTAGCTTTGAAGGTTGAAAAGAAAGAGGAGGCAGTAAACAGTGGAGGTAATGATGAAATCCATGTCAAATACAACAGAAGAAATTCTGCAATCAATTCTAACAGCACTAGCCAGGCTGTAAATGTAAGACTCACAGTCAGACACTACAGTATCATCTACACTGATTCTAATTCAAAAACCCTGATTTGTCCAATTTACTATCTTGTGTCAAAGAGTGGGTGAAGGCAATGTCATTATGTTGCTCATTCACCTTAAAGAGTAATGAAGGGCTCAGTAACTCTTGTTCCAGCAGAGCTGAGCTCAGAGTTTAGGAGGCTTTGACTTCTGTTTGCAGTAACAATGTTTTGATCTCATGCAGAAAACTGGCATCTTCTCAGCCTAACCTCACACTCTGCTCAGGATTATGGGAATTCTAATTTTGGCCCATGCTTCTTTTGGCACCTTTTGAAAGAGTTCCAGCTGTTGGGGGTATATGCATGCTTTGCATAAAGGCTGTAGCTCAAACTCACAGTACAGATTGAATCTATTTCACAGATCCTACCATTTCCCATTGTAATCTTATCTTGATATACCAGCCATGAATCGTGGCATATACATATAAAATGTATCCCTCCTTTTACTAAAAGATAATAAATAAGTGTGTGTAATTTCATTTTAATAATAGTTTATCATTTTATCTTAACAGCACTAAGTCTGCTCTTGAATATAAGTTTACACAACACATGAATTTCTTTTTACTATTGATCGAAGAATGATAGGAAATTATTAATTAACAGGGGAACATGTGGTGTTGATACTCATTTTGTACACCTGTGCAAAGCATCAAATGTGTATGCAACTTAAGTGTCATTGTGAGTTTTCAGTCATCCTTTTATACCTGGTGTCCACTGTGTGTTAACAGCACATAAACTTGCACCTGCTGAAGGGTAAGTTGGTTTCTGAATAACATACTGAGGTGCAGTACAGAGAGCATCTTTGCAATAGACCAACCAAAACCTGGGCAAAAGTCAGGTAGGTACCCCCAGCAGGAGGGGGTCAAGTGCATTGCTCAAGTCCACCTTGGAAGCACTGGAAGAGTTCCTCTCCAGGTACCAAGTCAATTTCCAAACTTTGGTCCACTGGAACTTAAACCGGTGACTTTCTGGTCCCCTAAGCCAAGTCTCTGCTGAGCTGCTGCACCTGAAAGCACAGAGAGGTTTTAGAGAAGAGAAAAATTGTAGCAAAGAGCCTGAAAGCCTTAGATAGTTCATCTGTTACCATTGTATGACAGCACAAAAAGATGGGTGTATATGCAGCTGTCACATGAGCAGAAAATACAATTGTTAGCAAGGAGATCATTTCCACTTCCCTCAGACTGTCTGATGTTTCTATTTTAAAGTTAAGTAACAAAACAAACTTCTTATCAGACTTGATTCATCAGGCACTTTTTGCTTTTTTGAGGAGGCAGGAGTGAAAATGTTTCATCTTAAGCTAATTGTATTTTGGTTTCAGAGTATGTGACACTGTTGCAGAACATGAGTATTGGCTGTAATTGTTAATTTTTTTTGCAGGATGCAATTGTACTTTTCTTCTACAAATCACTTATCTGCAGTCATATTTAAAATGGCTTTGAAAAATATGTTTGCAGGCTATTTTACTCACCACCCCCTAACCATGACCCAGAGAGTTCCCTGTTATTTCTGAGGTGAGCAGTGGAAGGGTGTAAGACATTGGTATTATTGCAGATTGATCTAAGATCTATTTTTCTCATGGATGCTGTTCAAACTGACCTTTAAACATTCAAAATTAAATAGCTATTTATGCAATAATTTCTAAGAAATAATATTCTATTTCCTTAAATCTCTTATGGATTTTCTTGATTGAAATTCTATCCCTGTCACTACTTTTATATGTAAATCTTCGTCAACTTTTTGTAATTCATATCCTCAAATTCAGCCCATCTGGTTAGTACATCCTGAGTTTACATAAGACTTGTTTCAAAGAGCAAATGCAGCTTTAACAGTGATACTCAATGATGAAGATGGTGAGGGTAAACAGAACCAAGTGGCAGAGTCTGATGAAGTCTTCACTGGTTCTGTGAAAACTCTGATTACATACAGTATATCTGAAAGACTGGTGGGTTGTAACATGAACATACGGAGTGCTGAAAATGAGTGAAAGTCTTTATGTTACACCAACAGTTTCTGATTGAAAGGCTGAACAAATCTCTTATCCTGCTGTCAACCAGTCCACCCATGTGCTTAGTATCAGATTTAAAGTAATTATTTTTTACCATAGACTGTATAAACTATGGACAACTTGGCTCCACCTTCCATCATTATACAAATTTAAAGCCAAATTGCTCTCAGTATTCCCGGGATTTTCTCCACTTCCTGGAACCACCACTTGTGTAGTAGCGTTGAATGCATTTGGTGGGAGAGTCACCGGGTGAGCTAGGCAATCTTCATACGCCCATAGGCTGTATCTAGTATCAAACAATAAAAAACATGAACCCCCTCATAACTTTAAAAAATGGAGCTGTACAGGAAAAAAAGGACTTGAGTACAAACCAGTCTTACATTAACTACATGTTAACATCACAATTAGAGGGGAGAAAAATGTATATCCTGTGTAATAAATTTCCAAAGTTTGTCCCCAGCTCCATAGGGATTGCTGGAGGAGGCAGGATTTATGACCTATACTGCAGCCCGTCAACAGAGGGTGCTCTTTTCACAGTGGATTTGCCCAGCGAGGAGGCAGAGGGCATCAATTCAATATACAGTCTATGGTTTTGACCTACAAACCTGAGCACCAGCCCACCACACATTTCTCTCACCAGAGGAACATCACCTTCTAAACTCCAGTGTGGGTGGTTGATAGATAAACTCAGCCAGAGTTTTGTTTTGGCAGAAAGTGTTGTTGATTAACACCTCCCCACTCCCAGTTTACTTGCAGGTCTGATTCCTCTTTGTACCTCAACATGTGCAACACAGAGTTTATTAGACAACTCATGCTGTGCAGAATGAAGACAACATTTCTGTTTTCTGAGAAAAGGTTCAGGGAAGTGAACGAAGAACTAAATCGTTTGTGTGGATGTCCGTAGAGAAAAGAGTAGATAATTGTCTTTGTTCAAAGTCTTTGATATTTGAACTTTCTCAAACCACTTTTTGGTGTTTTAGCTGCATTCCTGTTATATAGGAGAATAAAAAGAATAATGTTGAACACACAGATTAATAGTTAACATAACTCTTTAATTAAAAGATAAGCTTTTGATAACCTTTGAACACCCATTCCACTGTATGGTTATTCTTTCCTGTTTGCCCACTATCATTGTTTGGTCCTCTATTTGCCTGCGATACACTTGCAGAAAACCTCTTTATTTTCTCTGGTATTTGTTATTTTTAATGGCTGTGAACAGTATGCACAGCTGAGGTTCCTCTTTTTTAAACAATGTAAAGTGAAGGTGGCTTACCTCATTTGAAAACATAGCCAGTACCTGCTGCATTCTGACCTCTACAACTCCACATCCTCTACATGACTTTAGTAACAGTTAGTGAACAGTTCTAGGCAGTGTTAGAGGCGATATATCCCAACATAATGGAGTGAAAGAGCATTTTTATAATCAGCTTTATTAGGCAGTTATGTGAGCAGTTAAGTTATATAACTGTTCTTTTTGGAGGGCTGATGTTGAAGCTGACAGTTTTCAGGTGTTTGTAATCATTCAGTGAAGCATGAGCCTCTGTTTAGTGTTTGTAAGTTAGGAGTCTCAGATAATAGGAGTCTAAGATAAAGAATAAAACAAACATAAAAACAGGCTTAATCAGTGAAGTTTGTGCAATTGAAATATATAGAGTTTTTTCCCCTACATGTTGGAGACTGTAGCTGAGTAAAAAGAAAAGAAGTGGGCTTAAAGCCTGGAGCTCCAGAGCTTTAAGGCCTGATACCTCAGCCAAGAGAGAGGGACTCGAGGTTTTGGTTGAGGTTACATCATCTTGGACTCAGTGACTGTTGCATAGAAGAGAGACTGAGCTGGAACAACCCTCTCATCCTGAAACAGATGTTTTCTTCTTGGCTTACTTCCTCTCTAAGATATATAGTCAGACTGGAACACTGGACAGAATGATTTATGACCACTCAACAGATTGGTCTACTTTTTAGGGAGGATTGGTGTCTCCAAAACACAAGGAATACTTTGACGAGGGACTAGGAGTGTGTGGAGGGGAGGACACTTTAGGATTCATTATGTAGTGAAAGCCTTTAACAGCAATAAAGAGTTTAAATAAAGTGACCAGAGGTATAGATAAGAAATGAAAGTTACAGCAAACAGCAATGCCACGAGGGTCATAGATTGGTATGTTAGTTATTAAAATTACAACTCTTTTTTATTCCATGTCTTTGGGCTCGACTCTAATGGGACATTCACACCAAGCACAAGTTAAATCATCTGTGCAAATGAATTGCATGTTAAGTCAATGCAAAGACACGTTTGGATACTCATACTACTCTGGCAGTGGGAATGATGCGAATCGGGTGGCTCGAATCGTGCGAATCGAGCGAGTTATTTGCGCACATTAAGCGGACGCGAATTGATGAGATTTGAAAATATTTTAACTTTAGCGGATATTCACGTCGCAATAACCAATCAGCATGAAGGGTGACGTATGAAAACAGGCCACTGGTGTGAAAATATACACACAAATCCTTTTACTCACAGCAGACAGATGGACAGGCACTCTGCAACCGGGATAGAGCGCCTGTAATTGGTATCCTGGCCTTAACCCTCACCAACAGGTCGTTAACTTGGGTTTAAGTAACCCAACAATACTTCTGGAAACAGCCGTCATCCAGGAGCAGTAATTGGAGGAGATCCAGAGACGGCAATGCCTACATCTCCAACTGTTGTGGGCCTTCCACAAAAAAAACAAAGCAGCAATCCATTGAACTTGGTTCACTCCTATCATGTTTGATGGAGACTCTCGCCCTCTCATGTATCCACAGCTTTATTTATTTTTTTATTATAAAAACAGGAATATAAAGGAGCTCGTCTGGAGGAAAGTGAGTGAGGAGGTCGAATTATCAAGGAAGTTGTGAAAAACTTTGTCTTTCAGTTGATCATGCCACATGAATTGGCAAGGATCACTGTTGAAATTAGCATAAATGGCCAGGCACAGCTTTTAAGCACTCTGTTGACACACAAATCATTCACAAGAATAAAGTGATTAAATTCTTTTCATTCCCATGTCTAGATACACGTGAATTAAGCGAGTAGATGATTTTTCTTGCACTTGGTGTGAACGCCCTATAACACAGTTATGTGGACTTGTCTACAGTTATAACCACTTTGGGCTCTATTTTTGTGTCCGCCGGTGAGGCGGCGGAGGGTGGCGGACCCCGCGCAGTGGTATTTTCGTCTGGCAGAGCCTGGCGTACAGCCAGTTTGGTATTTTTGTGGACTGAGGCGCACCGAGGTCCGCCAAGCTGGGCGCGGTGGTGTGGCAGAGGGAGGTGTCGACAGAATCAGCTGGCACAGTGACATTTTTGTGCTCACCGGTGGCATAGAAAGTGCACTGAAAGCTTGCCGATTCAAACCTGGTCAGCTTTCAGCGCAGGCGGAGCACAGCTGGTCTAGTGGTATTCTGGTAGACCGGCGGCGTATTGGCATACATCACATATGCCTCACAGGCAGGTTTCCACAGTGTCAGGCACATTTCAGTGCAATAAATAATCATCATCAACTATTAATCTGAGTCAGCACATACATTTAGATCTATATCGATATATTCTGATCTATATCTGATCTGATGAGCGCGTTTGGCACACGTTTGGACACACAACCTGACCGAATCAACACAGCTGAAACCGCATTAAATTAAATTAAATATCTAATAAATAGACACACATGATGAAGTGAACAGGATATGTAATTCGTCTCCCTCCTTTTCCTTTAATTTCCTCTTCCTCTTATTCCTCACACAGCTCGACCTGGACATGTATCCATGTTCTCTCCCCTCCTGCTGCAGCTGCTGCTGCTGCAGTGGCTGAACAGATGATTTGTTTCAGTGCTCAGATGAGTCATTTACTTTAAGCATACATACGAATATTATAATATTCAGTTTTGTGAGCCAAATTTATTTTATATGCCAAAATCTATGAAAGACAGAGATGTGAATTTCCCAGTTTGGGATCAATAAAGTCTATCTATCTATCTATCTATCTCTCTATCTATCTATCTATTACGCACAGGTGGTTCCGATTTTAATGCCATTGTTGGAATTTATGTTGTGATCTCTGCGCACAACCCACCTTTGTCACGTGAGGTTTGAATATGTGCAACTTTATGTGAGTGTCTTTATTTGTGGAAAAGGGTGTTTGTCTTACCAGTGGGTCCAGCATTACACACATCAAATCCATCTGTGCTCATATGAGAGAGTGTGAAGGATGCCCTCTGTAGCATTTACAGTGTCACTTGTTGAGGGGCTGCCTTCTGTTGCCATCGTGTGGCATTGCTGTCTTCAGACATCTCTTGATCTCGTTGACTACTTCATGAAAATTGTAATACGCCTTGTCGGTGGCGGATTTAAAGGCGAAGAGAGTAGCTGATGTTATTGGTCAATACAGGTCTCTGCTGTGTCAAACCCACTCCACACCCTCACTACAACTTACGCCGCTGGGAGGAGCTGAGTTAGGGAGGGGGGATACTTACACCGGGCTGCACCACTCACCAAAATACCAAGTTGTGCTTGGGAACACCTTGTCGGCGTGGCGGACCTGACTTACACTGCACCTGCGCCACGTCTCTGGCGAAGCATGAAAATAGAGCCCATTGTGTCAAACAGAATTAACATATAACTTAAGGAATTTGAGTTGGCGCTCTTTCACCCCAGCTCAGGATGCAGGTGCAGTTTTATCAGACTGATGTCGGTCAGTAACCACGACACGAGTGTGTGAATTACTATAGTCCTGTGGCTCATATCAGTTTAGCATGCTGTGAACAGTTCACGCAAACATGACACAGTGAAAATGGAGATTACTGGAGGTCAGTCAGAATGATCTTTGTTCTAGTGTAGCAGTCACATGAAACTCTAGTGTTTAAAATCTATTAAACTACAGGACTAGCATGACTGGATGGTGCATGAACGTGCTTTAACTTGGACACACTGATCCTCACACAGTCAGCAGAGACATCCCAAATGTTAATAACTGAATGTTAAATGCTCCCTGGAGCTCTGTATGGTGGTTGTCTGTTCTGTAAGTCACTAAAATAGCAGTTCAGAGGACACGTTATAAACCCAGTTGCAGCGGTGCAATAGTTAGCTATCAGAAGAAGGTCTAGCAGTGAAAACTGTGAGGGCTAAACCAATAATGAACTCCCTTTTTTAATTTCCCAACTATTCAGTCAAAATAAATCTGGCAGTTAGAAAACACTAACTCAGAATCAGCCAATGGAATAACAGAATTATTTTCTCACTCACTTGGGGACAGCTTTTTTATGTTTGTAGGTCAAGGGCATCTCTAGCTTCATTTCCTTGCCTATGGTGCAGCAGCATTTTAATTAACTCTGATACAGGCTTTTAAAACAGAAAAAACAAATTACATTACGTCTGTGAATACACCCTACACAGAACAGACCACCGTCTTAGGTGCTGTTTGAGTCTGAAGGTCAAACATTTCCAGCATCTCTCTGGTCAAGGAGAGTCATCGCCTCAAAAGAAGTGGTGCAAACATGTAGAAAAGGCAGACTCCAGGAAGTTACTGTGCACGTTCAGCCAGAGCTTCTCTTCTTGTTCTGTTCAGTTCACAACCGCAAATATTGTAAATACAGCAAGACAATGTTCTTTTTACGTCGGCTGACATGTTTCCATCTCTTTTGTTGGATGTCAAACATGTTAAATGGAATATTTCTTCATTTTAATCATTTTACCATTGCCTCTTTTTTCTTTTTCTTTTTTTTTTCACATCTATCTCCTCTCTGCTGTTGCTGTCATCCTTTTTGTCCACCTTCACATTCACTGACTCTGACTGGCTGAAACTTTCCTGAGCAGCTGCTTCTGATGCTGACAGTGAAAAAGTAGTTTCAATGAGGATGGGCTAAGACCAGTCAGAGTGCAAAATTGGTCTAATTAGGAATGGGCATTTAAAGAAAGTCCCTTGATCAATTAGTTATGTAAATTAACAACCAATCGTTGATTTGATCTTTTTTTTTTTTTTGTGAATGGCAGAAAATACACAAAAAATGTGTTTTTCCTCATTGAAACTCCCCTTATAAAATATCAAAATCCTTCGCGCGGTGATAGTCACTGCATTGCTTTAACACACACACACTAACTGGACAAAGGAAGTATCCCTCTCCCTATCAGCAGAGGTTAATGTTTCCTTGAAAGCAGCTGGAGGATGGACACATGCTGTCAGCCCTTTTTTAAAAACATTAGATCCTTTGAAATTTTTGCGTGATCGACTTAATTCTTAAAGATCAATTAATCGATCATTCATTAATCGTGCCCATTCGTAGGTGTGATGTTTGCTGTCCCTCTCTTCTGCCTGATTAGAAATCATAAGCAAGACATAAGTATCCATCATGCCGACAGGGATATAAATCGGCATGCATCTCTGTGTGTATGCAACACATCCCAAATTGATCAGAAAAGGAACAAGGCCCATACCCAAGACCCTCAGGTCCATGGAAACCCATCACATCATCCAGACATAATTGGATATGCTGTCAGAAAGAGCACACATCAGTCCTCCTAACTCCAGTTCTGAGACTCTTTGGAAACATGCCACACCACTGTAATCCAGAATCCACTTTTTCCACTTCTGTTTTTGATTTGTTACATTCCCTGAAGCTTTCCCTCTTCTGCCATCAGACCAAACTAACAGCTTTTTTACTATGTTGAATGTTTTTGATTTCTCAGAGGTACACATGGGTTACATTCTGCAGCAGAGTTCATCTCCAAACATCTCCTCTCTGAACTCTATCTCCCACGAGCCCTCAGCTCATTCGGTCTCCTACTCCTCAGAGTTTTTCTTTGGGCATGAACTGAACATGAAGTGTACCCCCTCATGTGTTCAGAGCTTGATGGCAGGGGCACGTAGAAGCAAATAAAAGTAAGAAACGGTCAGATTCTGCTGCAGGGAAGCCAAACAGAATCAACAAAACTTATTAAACTGACAGTGGTGCAGTTGTGCACTGAGAGCCAAAGTATCCCAGGACCGGTTTACATCAAACCTGTCAGCCAGTGGACTTGCCTGAACTGGAAACATGGCAGAGAGCTGCAGGAACACCCAGCTAGAAAGACAAAGAACTCAAATTCCCATCAGCACACAGGTCAGCATCATACTCCTCCCATGACTGCAGGACCAATGCTTCAGCACCAAGTTTGTCTCCTCAGTTCCACATCGTTGTAAGGATCAGGACTCTGGAAAGACTGAGACGTGTGGTTTCCTCCTTCAAAACGGCATTATGAGTCTGATGGTTTGTCTGCTCTGAGTGTTGCAGTTAGTTAAAGGACAGTGAGTGGTGTTTCTGTTTCTAAGTAAAGAAACAACAGCAGCTCTGAGATCATTCAGATTCATGTGTTTCCTTTAAACTAATGAACCTTTCGGGGAATAAACCTTCTCTTTACCGTCCAGAAGAAAACCGAGAACTTCAGCGTTACTCTTCAAACATGAATCTGTCTTTAGGATTTTCTTCTATGAAGGGAAACACTTGTGAACTCTGGGATACCAAGGGGACACAGCAGAAACGGTTTGGAAACCACTGCATGTAGCGAAGAGTGTAAAGACACAGAGGGGGCTCCACATACATAGCACCGTCCACCTGCAGGCCCTCAGACTACTAGCTGCCACCGTCGATCCCCCTTTAGACCTGCTGCTACCTTTGACAGCAATTCAGAGGTGGGCCTTTACTTTGCCTCACCGTTATGTCTCAGTGTGTTACACATTTCTGACCAGGTGACTCAGTGGTGTGAGTACCTTAACCCTGCTGGAGCCTATGGGCCCCTATCATTCACACATCTTTTGGTCTTTCGTTCTTCTGAAATGTTGTTTGAGGATTACTGTTACCAAAATTTTCCCGAATTGCAATTTTTGGTCTTTATTTTGTACCAAGTATGCATTAGCAGGAAGTTTTTACCATATATTATTATTTTGCTGCAAACACCTAACTACATTAAGTCCAGAGCAGCTAACTGTGCCTTTGTCTCCAGGAACTGAGATTCATCTGCATACCTCTGAAGATGATGTAACTCCCGTAAATGCAGCCACTCTTGGACTGGTTTCCTGTGGCGAGCACCTCCTTCCTATTTCCTTTTGTAAAGGATGCCAAATGCCACTGTTGCATCTTAAAAAGCAGAGGAAGGCAGAGAGCACTCAAAGCAGGCAGCACAAACTCTCTGAAATCTTCTGTTTCAGAGATTTTTCAGCTGAAGCAGAGGTCAAAATCTAAAAATAATAAAAGCGTCAAAGTACAGAGTAACAGGTTTATGAACATGCACTAAAACTTAGCAAAAGCTTAGGGGAACAGTTTTTTTTTTAACCATA